AGGAGTTTTCTGGGTTTGGCTGGATATTACCGCATATTTATCAAGGATTTTTCCAAGATCGCTATGCCACTTACTAGGATGACCCGGAAGGGTGTTACATTTTCATGGGGACCGGAGCAAAAGTCTTCATTTGAGACGCTTCGTCAGAAATTGTGCGAGGCTCCAGTGCTTGCACTCCCGGAAGGGATGGAGGATTTTGTGGTATACTGTGATGCCTCTATATCGGGTTTGGGGGCGGTACTTATGCAGAGGGGTCATGTGATAGCGTACGCTTCGAGGCAGTTGAAGCCTCATGAGTCGAGATATCCCACGCACAACCTGGAATTGGGGGCGGTGGTGTTTGCCCTCAAGATCTGGCGACACTATTTGTACGGGGTTCGGTGTACGATTTACACGGACCATAAGAGCTTGAAATACTTGATGGATCAGCCAAATCTAAATATGCGACAGAGGAGGTGGTTAGATGTGGTGAAGGATTACGATTGTGAGATCCTGTACCACCCGGGCAAGGCTAATGTGGTAGCCGACACATTGAGCCGTAGGGCGGATAACGCCCCGATCCGAGATATTTGTATGAGATTGGCGGTTTTGACCCCGATTCTGGATATTATTCGAGGGGCTCAGATGGAGGCTGCAAAGCCGGAACACCAGAAGAAGGAACGGGTTGTACGTCAGGTATCAGGATTTGTTACGGATGGTTGAGGGCTTATGACTTTTCAGGGACGGATTTGGGTGCCGTTTGTGGGCGGTGCGTGCACTATTTTGATGGAGGAAGCACATCGATCGAAATTCTCGATTCATCCTGGTGCTATGAAAATGTATTTGAATCTCAAGAAGGAGTACTGGTGGCCATGTATGAAAAGTGATGTCGCTTGGTTTGTCGAGAGGTGCTTGACTTGTCGGAAGGTCAAGGCCGAGCACCAGCGACCGCACGGTAAGATGCAACCGCTAGAGATTCCCGAATGGAAGTGGGAACAAATCTCTATGGATTTCATCACCAAGTTACCGCGAACGGCGAGAGGAGTCGATGCGATTTGGGTGATCGTGGATCGGCTGAGAAAGAACACTCATTTTCTAGCCATTAGCGAGAGATCTTCTGCGGAGAAGTTGGCCGAGTAATATGTGAGGGAAGTAGTATCTCGGCACGGGGTGCCAATCTCGATTATTTCAGACCGCGACTTGCGTTTCACTTCCAGGTTCTGGAAGAAATTCCATGAGGAGTTGGGTACTAGGTTACATTTCAGTACGACATATCATCCTCAGACAGACGGTCAGAGTGAGCGGACAATTCAGACACTCGAGGACATGCTTCGGGCATGTGTGTTGGACTTCGGAGGGAGCTGGGACACCTATCTACCTTTAGCAGAGTTCTCGTATAACAACAGCCATCATTCGAGCATTGGTATGCCGCCCTTTGAGTTGTTGTATGGGCAGAGGTGTCGCACCCCCATATGTTGGGGTGAGGTGGGACAGCAGGTTATGGGTAGCACGGAGATTGTGCTTCAGACGACCGAGCAAATTCAGATGGTCAGGCAAAGGTTGTCGACCGCTCAGAGCCGACAGAAGAGTTTTGCAGACAGTCGACGGTCCGAGCTTGAGTTCCAAGTTGGTGATCTCGTACTCCTGAAAGTCTCTCCTTGGAAAGGAGTGATTCGGTTCAGGAAGAGGGGCAAGTTGGGGCCCCGATATATTGGTCCTTTCCGTGTGATAGCAAGGGTGGGTCAGGTAGCCTACCGTTTAGACTTGCCAGCAGAGTTGGGACAGATTCACGATACTTTCCATGTGTCGCAACTGAGGAAATGTATAGCCGACGAATCGGCGGTGGTTCCGTTAGGGGATATTCAGGTGGATGCAAGCCTGAATTATGCTGAAAGACCTGTAGCCATCAGAGATCGGAAGATCAAGGTTTTGAGAAACAAGGAGGTACCCCTGGTATTGGTTCAGTGGCAGCATCGAAAGGGATCGGAGATGACCTGGGAGCCGGAACGTGAGATGCGGGAGCAGCATCCGGAGCTATTTGCCTAGCGGGACTTCGAGGGCGAAGTCTTATTCTAGTGGGGGAGAATTGTAATAGCCTGGATCCCCAGGTACCTTCATTTCATATATTTTTGACATTCTGTGAGGGAACTCGGCGAGTTGGAGGTTGAACTCGCCGAGTCGGGTCGCGGTTTTGGGCGGGGGTTCGCGTCCGGACTCGGCGAGTCCGAGGGATGGACTCGGCGAGTCCGCGTTGTTTAATGAAACCCTAATTTCCCAGTCCTAAGACCTATTTAAAGGACCTTATGGCCCTCATTTGCGGCCACCTTGAACCCTAAGAGCCCCCATACGTCTGTGAGCCCTTGTGAGTGTGTTTGGAGGCTTTTTGTTCATTATTTTGTGGGATATTGCAAGGAAAGGAGGGAGAGGATCAAGCTTGAAGAGTTGGGGAGCTTGGATCTGTTGCTACTTCATCAAGGGAGTCTTCTTGAGGTAATTTTCAGAGCCAAACTCCGTGTTTTGTGTTGATGTGCCAAATCTAGGGTTTCTTCTTGCATTTCTTGGCTTGAATTGGAAGTATGAGAGGTCCCATGGAGATATGAAACCTAGATCTGGACCTTAGCAGGTCCAGGAGACCCCTTATGTCAAGCTTTATGTCCATTCTTTTGAGTTAGAAGCTAAACTTGCCATATTAGAGGTTGTTACTTCAAAATAAGCCTTGTATGCATTGCATGGCAACCAAGACTGAGACTTTACGTGACAAATAAGCTTGGGAAGGCCAGATCTATGTATGTATGGAACGGATCTGACCGCAAAAGCCAGTTTTAGCTGGTGCATAGCATGGACTCGCCGAGTCTGAAGAACAGACTCGACGAGTCGCTTGAAGATTGTCTTGGAGACCACCCTGTGTGTAGTCCGGACCTAGTTGTGGGCGACTCAGTGAGTCGCAGAGAGTTGGAAAGGTTTTGACAGGTGGACCGAGTCAAGTTGGGACTCGGCGAGTTGAGTCGCGGTGGCCCTGTGATTCAGGCCCAGGAGGAACTCGTCGAGTCGGGGGAGTACTTGACGAGTCAAAAGGGAAAAACCTTGATAGTTGATTAAAATGCATAGACTTGCCGAGTCACTAGTGTGCACTCGCCGAGTCCGGTCCAAATTGACTAAAGACTGTTGACCAAGTCAACCTGTGTTGACTTGATAGGGATGGCCCACCTTTGTGGTACAAGTAATAATTATAGATTTATAATATCATAGGAGGATTGCAGCTCGAGGGTTCGAGCCTGAGTGATTCCAGGATTCACGATTAGCGACTTAGCGAGGCATACGAGGTGAGTCTTCTCACTATACTGTACCCGGAAGGGTTTTGACTGTGTGACCGGAAGGTCGAATATGATATGAGATATATGCCTTATGTGTGTTAAAGTCATTTGTTATATGTGCCATGTATGATATGTTTGATTTGGGCCGAAAGGCAACATGATATGGGCCGGAAGGCGTGGTCATATGGACTGTAAGGTTGACGTGGGTAGGACTGGAAGGTTTACCCAGTCGGGACGGAAGTCCCCTGAGACACATGGACCGGAAGGTCAAGGCCTGGAAAGGCGTGTGTGCGTAGGTTGTATTTTGGGGAACTCACTAAGCTTTATGCTTACAGTTGTTGTATTATGTGTTTCAGGTACTAGCGAGGACCGTGGGAAGGCGTTAGCGTGACCGTACACACACTCGGGGAAACCATTTTGTTATCTTTTGTTATGTAATCGGTTGTTACTAAATTGTTACATTGGAATCTAAACTTATTACTCATGTTTTGATGATTGTAAAAATGAAAATTTTTGGTTGGAATTTTATGACGTTACAGCTTTGTAAAATGATCATTGGTGGGTAAAATAAGTTTACTTTATTCAAATCAAAAAATGATTTTGTTGCAAATTAAGTCGAATTTGTCACTATAATGATACCATTTCTAAATAAAAACTCAACCAAGTGGTCAAACCATGTCAAACGTGTTTTTTTGGTATATCTATGACAAAAGATTATGCCGTAATTCAATCAGTAACATTTACCTACGAGCTATTTTACGACATGCAACTTACCGACGGAAACCAAATACCAACAAATATGGTAAAGTCAACTTGCATTGTTCATTCGTCCTTGATGATGGACATTAGGTATTCTACATAATAAAAGTAAGAACATCTACCATGAAAAGTTCAATGGAAGAGATGTGACAAGTCTATTTGTTATTTAATGTATGATAATCTATTATTGTGAGATACCACAATGACATTCAATAGATTTAAAGTTGAATGGTCATCGAACTTTTCAATTAGAAAAATGAATGTTTTATAATTCTTAAATATATTTATAAAATTGTTTTTGTAATGTTCTATTGAACTTTGTGAAAGTTCAATGTGTTGTAAAAAAATTGATAAAGATGCTAAATGATGATTTGAAAATTCATTGAATTTTATGAAAAAATTCAAGTTAAATGTATTGTGGATGTGCTAAGGATGCAATTTTTTTCACTTTATGAAAAGATAAATGATGATTTGAAAATTCATTAAATTTTATGAAAAAATTCAAGTTAAATGTTAAATGTATTGTGGATGTGCTAAGGATGCATTTTTTCTCACTTTATGAAAAGATAAATGATGATTTGAAAATTCATTAAATTTTATGAAAAAATTCAAGTTAAATGTATTGTGGATGTGCTAAGGCCTTTTTCTTAGATAAGAATTAGTCATGTACAGTTTGTTTTTGATTGGATGCATATTTAATGTTGTCATGTTGACGTTTTTTCTAATTCATATTTACATTGTATCATTTTTTTATTGTTCCTTAATACACATCAAGCCCTTCACTCAATCTTGTCCTCTACGTTTATTTTTCAATCGATCATGCATCACTATTATTATTTATTAAGCATTGTCTAAACATCTATATGCGGCAATTTTGACAAATTTAAACATCAAGTCAAATTTGAACAGCTACTTAAATATTACACCTAAATCTAAAGTCATGAACCACAGTTAGATTCAGTTAATCAATTATAAATATTTATCTTATAGTAAAAAAATATTCTTGGCCCGTTGGCCGTCTACTAAGAAGCCCATATATACACCACAATCCCTGTGAAAACAGACATGGCAGAGTGGATACAATGGCGACAACTGAGAAGAGGCCTCATGTCATCTTTATTCCATTACCTTCACAAAGCCACGTAAAGGCCATGCTCAAACTAGCGCAGCTTCTTCACCACAAGGGACTCCAAATTACCTTCGTTAATACAGAGTTCATCCACGAGAGGTTGGTCAACTCTGGTGGTGCCCACACGCTCGATGGCTCAGATGGTTTCCGATTTGCAACAATTCCAGACAGCATTCCTCGGAGATCTGAAGAGAAACCTGCAATGGACCTGCTTCTTCATCATATTGAAACCAGCTTCTTAGCTCCTTTTGTCGAACTTGCAAGGAAACTTCCAACTCCACCAACTCTAATCATATCTGATGGCGTGGTGTCGGTTTTCACCACTGATGCAGCAAAAAAGCTCGGGATCCCAATCATGCTCTACTGGACAGTTGCAGCTTGTGGCTTCATGGTTTCATACCAGACTAAATCTCTCATCGAGAAAGGATTTATACCACTTAAAGGTTTTCTTTTTACGTGTGTTTTAGATATGATTCTTCTCTTAATATATACGTACAAAATAAATAACTCCGGTCATTAATACTTGTATACAGATGAAAGTTACTTGACAAACGGGTATTTAGAAACCATTATCGATTGGATTCCAGGAATGAAAGGAATCCAGCTAAAGCATTTGCCCAGCCACATTAGGACAACCAATCCTGACGATAAAATTCTTAAGTTCATTACTGAATCTACACAAAAGGCCCACAATGTTGAATATAATATTATTCACACCTTTGACGCGCTGGAGGCTACTATAGTCAACGCTCTTTCTTCGATGTTTCCTCACGTTTATACAGTTGGCCCTGTACAGTTGCTTCTTAATCAGATACCTGCCGAAGAAAAACAAGCCACAATGTCAAATTTCGATGGATACAGCTTATGGAAAGAAGAACCAGAGTGTTTACAGTGGCTCGAATCAAAGGAACCAAAGTCTGTGATTTATGTGAACTTTGGGAGTTCAACAGTAATGTCCTTACAAGATCTTACAGAATTCGGTTGGGGACTTGCTAATAGCAACCACTATTTCCTTTGGATAATTAGATCTGGTTTGGTTGTGGGAGAATCCGCAGTTTTGCCTCCTGAATTTGAGGAGCATATTAAAGAGAAGGGTTTCATAGCAAGCTGGTGCCCACAAGAAAAAGTCCTGGAGCACCCTTCCATCGGAGGGTTCTTGACTCACGGTGGTTGGGGTTCCACCATTGAGAGCTTGTCGGCTGGGGTACCAATGATTTGTTGGCCTTATGGGTGGGATCAACCGACTAATTGTAGGTATATATATAAGGAGTGGGAGGTTGGACTGGAGATGGTAAAGGACGTTAAAAGAGAGGATGTCAGTAAGCTCGTACATGAGTTGATGCTCGGGGAAGAAGGCCACCGTATGATGAATAAGGCCATGGAGTGGAAGGAAAAGGCTTACGCTGCGACAGGTCCCGGTGGTTCATCTTCCTTGAATGTGCACAAACTTGTCGAGGAAATAGTTATGCTGTCAAGGAACTAAAAGTTTCTTCTCCACTTACTTACGACATGGATTAAAAGTTTATAACTAAGCCGTTATAAAAAGTATATACGGTAGTCTATTTATGGGCGTTGTGATTTGCATATTTCAAGTAACATATGATGCTTTTCTAAACATTCTTGTCAATTTATCTGCTACCAAAACCTAAGTTTAAAAAAACGTGTTTAGATATATGAACTCAAAAAGGCATGAAAATAGAGTAAATTGATAATTTTGTTTTTTAGGAAAATGGCACTATGGGGCTACAAACTCTTGGGTTTTGTTTTAAAATTTCCCTTATGTACCTTTTTTTATTTTATTTTAAAGGACTAAAGTACAATTTTACGGGTTATATTGGTGACTTTATTTAGAGTACCCATTTTCATTGTCATGTAATGACACCTAAGCACTGATTTAGTAATGTGCTACGCATTCACTTAATCTCATATTTTCTATAAAGGGGTGCTATAGGAAATTAGCAAGAATAGAGAGCATTTTATTTAAGAGGGTACATATGTTAGTTTCTTTGTTGCAACAATGCATAAGAAGGTAGAGTGTACGTGAATATTGTTGGATAAAATGTCTAAGTTCATGACTATAATTAGTATAAACTTAAATTGATAGTAACAAAGTCGTTTCGGGTTGTCTTCAAATCTAGCAATTGAACATGATGATTTTTAGAGAAAGATGTTGATTTTTTATTTGATTAATAAAATCAAATAAATAGTTTATTAATATATTATGAGAATAATATCACTAGTAGAAAAATGATCAATAAACACATCATAAACGTGTGACCATATGCGTATATTAACACTTTTTTTTTTCACTAAGTGTGACCGATGGTGATGTCATTGTATGGACCTTATGGTCACTTTTAAATTTGGTGTTTTTATGATATGAAAAAAACATGGTTGTATCATCAAACTGTGACTATTGGGTAGGGAATTTTGTTGCTATAATCAATCATTTTATCCAATATTATGGCGTTAAACCGTTAGTGAACACACTTTTTTAGTAATTGTAGTGACTGTATATCACAAACTGGCGACATACACTTTGTTTCAACGTGGTGTTTTGCTAATAAATTGTCACACAATTCAAAGTTTATTAAGACTATTATGTATCTTTTGCATACATGCAGTTACAGTGAATATGACCATGTTCACTAATTACTACACGTAATTAATTTCATAAGTAGCAATTTGTTAGTCACGAAAACAATCTTTTATTATGACCATTGTCTATTGTATATAGACACATAATTAGGAGAAACATTATCATAAGTATTATAAAGACACATTTTTATTGATATTATGGATTTAATATTAGCTTACAGATATATCTATATTAATTATCATGATTGCTTCTATCATTCAGACGTATAAAAAGTTGTAACTATGACTATTTTATATCAATTTGACATAGAAAATCAATTAAAAAATAATCATAATTGATTTATAGATACAATGGCATGACTAATATTTATATAAGGCCACATAAAATATTATAATTATGGTGTTACTAATATTTATATAAAGCCACATTATCACACCCCCAAACCAGAACGGCGAAATTATTCGAGGGTGGATGACTTCATGTAATATCGTAACAGTTGAATACATAGTAAAGAAATTAAAACAACCATCATATATATAATTTAAAAGTTACATTATTGAATGATACTTGTTCAAAGAAAATTACAATATGATGACAAAATGAGTTTTAAACTAACACCTTAGCATCACTTCTCCAAAAGCTAGGGTTTACCTATATTACTGAATCCCTGAGAAATACAAGTAGTTTTGAAAGAGTGTCAACAATTAAGTTGGTGATTTCATAAGTATTTATGTATAACATTTGTAAGTTTGGTATAAAATCACTGAGTTTGTTTCTGAAAAATCCAATATTTTTCCATGAGTGTGTAGTAGTTTAAAAGTTCCAAAAACTGTAATGCATTATTAGTTCTTCATGTCTAGAATAACATATTTAAGTATGTATAAAATCACTAAGACATTTGATAACCCCGTAAATCATCGTGTTTTTAATACTCCATGTGAGTTTTATTTCCATTCTATTGACGTAGACTGTCTGTAACAACGTTCTTCAGGCATTGGAATGTTATGATGTTTGTCACCCCAGACCTGCCGGTCTAACTAGAGCTAACAATTTAGGTGCGGGGTTATCAATCTCATATAGATCTATACATAAATATCACGCTCTCCCTACAATAGATTATTGTATATAATACAGGACTTTAACTGCATACTTGAAAGTACGTGAATTTGAATGTCTCACAAAACTTAGTATCAAATAGATTTACGTATGAAAAGTCCACTTTTTCTTTTATGTGAAAGTATTTCCTTGATATAGTACTTATAGTATGTAAAATCTCATGAATATCTAGTAAACTATACCTATTATAGTTTTTCCAAAAGTATGTTTCGTTTGTATGGTAAACCCTAGTGTAGTGTCGACTTTGTATGTAAAGTATAACCTTATTGAACGTTTATACTCAAAATATAAATAAAGTGTTTGATGTTTATATAACAATATGTTTCATTCCAAAAGGAAAAGTGTTATGATGATATGTTATATGAGAATGTCTTCGTATGGTAGTTATAAATCACATATGATTGATTATAACAAAAAGTATAGCAAGAGATTGATGTTTTTCACACGAGGATAATATGTGTTTACTTGTATTCCCCCCCCCCCCTTTAAAAGTGTATAAAAGTATTTACAAATCATTTGAAAACGTAGTTATAGGGGTATGAACTCACTTGATAGAGTGAAGATGGTGAGATGAAAACCGAGCAGAACTTCGACAGGAGAAAACGGATTTCTCGGGATTCTCGGGAGTGTAAAACCTTCCTTTGGGACTTGGATGCGAAGACCGGGTCTTCGGGATATTTCTTGCACGAAAAACGGGGTAAAAACGCAAGAGAAAGAGAGAAAATGAGCGATTATACCCGGAACCCTCGCCTTCCTTTTATAGGGGCTAGAAACCGTCGGTACGCAGGGCGTAACTCTGGTTTACGTGGGGCGTACCAGATGTTATGCATGACCGCATCCTCGTCTGCCAGACTTCGATGGGATGGGGCATAGAGGCGTAGAGGGGCGATGTGGACGATCCGAAGCCTAGCACCCGAGTACGTTGGGCGTACGAGGGTACACTGGGCGTAACTCGTCCCGGTTTGTGCACCTCGAACTTGTAAAATCCGTAACTTCCGCATACGAGCTCCATTTTTAACGTTCTTTATATGCACGCGTAGGTGAGAATGTACTCTACAACTTTCATTTAGACTCCGTTGGCTAACTTTGAATTTATTTTTAATATATTATTTTTAATAGATCGGAACACGAAAAGTCCATTAAAAATCCGTAACTTCTTCATCCGACGTCCGTTTTCGTTTGTCTTTTTACCGTTGTACTACCATTGTTGAGGTCTTCGATTCTCCTTTAGTTTGTTTCGGCTACAAATCGGTCGATCTCTATTTTGAATTTTTAGCTGTCTACCGCTATACCGAAACTTCAAAGAATCATAACTTCTCAATACGAAGTCAGATTTGGGCGTTCTTTTTATGTATGTTCACGGTTTAATGATATCTACGATTTTCATTTAGATAATTAAGGTTAAAAAGTATTTTATTAAAACTTCGTGTTTTATGTTTAATCGTATTGATGGTTTTGTTGTGAATTTTAGGTTGATCATAACTTCTACGTTATAACTCGGATTTTAGTGTTTTTTTTGTATTTCTGAAAACCTTGACATGATGACTATTATTTTAGGAAACCCAGTAGAGACTTTTCAACATTTTATTTTTCATGCTATTTTCATTATATCAAACGAGATTACAATTTTTGACTTTTTAGGTCATTACATTGATTCGAGGGAATTTGATCCCGAAATTTAATGTAAGATAAATATTTGTAGATTAGGGAAAGAGATGTGGATACTTTTTTTTATTTGATCTCCGCGCTCCCAAGTGTATTCAGGTCCTCGTTTTGCATTAGCGGACCTTCACAATGGGTATGCGACTTTGTTTTGTTTTGCATTCCAATGGAGACTCTCGTTGATTTTGATTTCATCTAGAGGGACGATAAGGGTCTTATCGGACAAACATTTCTTCAAGTTGGACACATGAAAGGTAGGATGTACGTTATTGAGTTCTTGTGGTAGTCGAAGTTTGTATGCTACCGGACCGATCCTTGCAAGGATCTCGAATGGTCCAATATACCTTGGGTTTAGTTTCCCACGTTTTCCGAAACGTATTAACCCTTTCCAGGGCAAGACCTTTAATAGCACTCGGTCCCCGACCTGAAATTCCAAGGGCTTCCGTTTTTTGTCTGCATAACTCTTTTGTCTGTCTCTTGAAGCCTTTAGTCGTTCCTGAATATGAACAATCTTCTCAGTTGTTTCTCTTATGATTTATGTGATGGGTTTTGGTCATAAGACATTCTATGTGCTCATACAAACCCTAATGCTTGGATCTAGGTTTCTCTATTGTACATGCTCTGAATCCAAGACTATAAACCCTAATTCTAGCATACAAGTAATCATATTAATATGTAATTAGGTTTAAGATCATACCTTGATTGTTATGTAGCAATAACAATCCCAATTCCTCCTTGTATTGACTTTGGAAGGCTTAGAGTCACAAGTGTCACTCCTCTAATGGCTCACAAACACCATAAGCAAATGGAGAAGGTATAAAGAGAGAGGTGAGAGGTTAGAATTCGTATCTAGGACCTCTTGGGAAGGGATACACGAATTCATGACCCTAGGGGTGTTTATATAGGTGTAGAGATAGGGTTTCAGTCATTATCCTTATCTAGTTGATTATCCATTAAGCAACCAATAAGATAATCCTTGAATCCTTATCATACTCGAATTCTAAGGCTTTCCAACCTTAAATTCGTCCACCATATAAATAAGATAATCCTTACCTTATTTTGTAACTATCACATAATTACAAATCAGCCCCTCTAGTTTAATTAATTACATTTGATCACAAAACATATTCTCAATTAATTATTGACCAATATTAATTAAACAAATATGATTTCTCCTTTAATATATTATTCTTATAACATATTAATAAATCATATTATCCTCTATCTCTTTATTCATTTCTCCAATCAAGTTGCTTTGGTGAAGGCAACCCAAAAGGACCATGCACAATCGGGTCAAGTACATACCAAAATAGTTATGGACTTAGACACTAATCCAACAGTCTCCCACTTGGATAAGTCTAACAACTATTCTGCGTATGACTTCAGATCCTGATCTGCAATCGTAGCTTTCCAAAGCCGCTGTCAACTCTGATCATATCAGATACGCGTGTCCTTAGATAAGGGATCATATATTCCTCTATTCGAGATATCGTATGAGATATGATTTCAAATCATTCTCTTTGTACTATATCTCGATTTCCGATTTATGACGATAGACTAACTGAACAAATCAAATTAGCCCTAGCCCGGCCGAGCATTTACGTATTTCATGACTAAACCATCGAGGGGCCCAAAGATATCGCTTTTATCCTACTTTGGATAAAAGGAACGGATAAACTTGGATACAATGCTCGCTTGCACTCACTCACCGAATTACACACAACAATATGTTTTATAACACCAAGTTACTGGTGCGTTTACATATTATCAATGTGCAACCGATCAACAAGATACAACTCACACATCTCGGTTTCAAGAATATAAGATGTTATCGTCTCACTAATCACTC